CCGGGGTGAGGAGCCGGGGACAGGGATCCCGGGACCGTGAGGTGGGGGTGGGGGGTCCGGGGGACGGGATTCGGGGATCCGGGGCACGGAAGTGTGGGCCGGAGGGAGGTAAAGGGGTGCTAGTGCGGAGAGGTTGAGACGCGAGGGGGCGTAGGACCGGGCTGCAGGTGAGGAAGGAGGAAAGGCGGTGGGCGGGGAGGTAGGGTTCCCAGATATAGGAAATAAAAATGTAGAACGCCCAGTGAAGTTGCATCTCAGATAAACAGCGAATCATGTTTCACTCTCTGTCTCCTGCAGAATGTGGGTGGGAGAGCGCCGACAGGACGCCGCCCGCGCTGGGATCGCAGTCCCCTTGAAGCCTTTAGTCGGAGGCCAGGACGCGTCAGCTGCAGGAACTCTAATGCGAACCCCGCATGTGGTGAATCCTTTCCTCCGCCATTCTTCGCCCGGTGAAGTCATCTGCCTCCACACTGGAGCAGTGAGCTTGTGATCATGCCGTCTAATTAGATCATGCCGTCCTCATTTTAATTTTTAATAAAATATGTCAAAATTGCAGAAAGCCTGGAAAACAGCAAAAAGTTACTTAAAAATTACTCATTCCCAAAACGCTCACCTCATTATTATTCTTTTAGGTGTTTTCCCACATGTATACAGGCTTTTATATGTTTCCAATTACGATATACAAAATTTTCCTTTTATTTAATATTACAATCAGCTTCGATGTTGCTACCTAATTATAATTATTTTGATGACAGTATCATTTTCCCTAAAGTTAATTACCATATTTTGTCTGACCATTCAGCTATTGTTAGTTAAGTTGCTACCAGTTTTTTATATTTTAAATGGTGCTATAATGAGCATCTTCATAAATTTTGAAATTCCTAGGTTAAAAAGTAATAATATTGGATACAAACCTTTTTGCAGCTTTTACACAGTATTATTTTGTGATTCAATATAAAATCATATACTATTTCTGTATGAAAACTTGTATGCTGAATGAATCTATCCATCGATTATTCTTTCTTATCATGGTAACATACAAGGTACTTAAAAAAGTTTGTGAAAAACTAGAATTGAAAGATAATACAGGGCTGGCCCGTGGCTCACTCGGGAGAGTGCGGTGCTGATAACACCAAGGCCACGGGTTCGGATCCTATATAGGGATGGCCGGTTGGCTTGCTGGCTGAGCGTGGTGCTGACAACACCAAGTCAAGTCAAGGGTTAAGATCCCCTTACCGGTCATCTTTTTTTTTAAAAAAAGAAAGTTAATACAAATTTTTCCATGAACTCTGAAGTATTCTTATACATATAACATGAAATTTGCCATTTTAAACCATTTTTAAATGTACAATTCACAGACATTAATTACATTCACAATGTTGTGCCACCTCACCACTATTTCCAAAACTTTTCCATCAGTCCAAAAAGAAATTCTGTAGTTCTTAAGTAGTCATTCCCCATTCTCACTCACCCAGTCCCTGGTAACCTCTAATCTAGTTTGTGTCTCCATGAATTTGCCTATTCTAGGTATTTTACATAAGTGGGATCATACAGTATTTGTCCTTCTGTGACTGTCTTATTTCACTTAGCGTGATAGTTTCAAGGTTCATCCATGTTGTAGCATGTGTCAGAAGCTTATTCCTTTCTATGACAGTAATATTCCATTGTATGTGTATACAACATTTTGTTTATCCTTTCATCTGTTGACAGTCTTGAGTTGTTTCCACCTTTGTTCTATTGCGAATGATGCTGAAACCAACACTGGCAAAAGCATCAGTATGAATTCCCGATTTACGTTCATAGGAATGGAATTGCTGACTCATGGTAATTTTATATTTAACTTTTTGAGGAACTTTTAAGCTTTTCCTCAGCAGCTGCTGCATCATTTTACATTGCCACCAGCAATGCAGAGTTCCAATTTCTCCACATTCTCCTCAATGCTTGTTATTTTCTAGTTATCTTTTTAAAATAGCCATCCTAGTAGGTATGAAGTGGTTGCTTATTCTTTGTGAGTATACTTCTGAATATCAATTATGTTTCTTGAAATAAGCCGTAGCTTTTATCATACATCTCAGCAGAAGCAAGCAAGTGAAAGGAGCAGGAAGAGCATTCCAACATAATCACAATTATTTAGTTTACTGATGCTGCCCATATTAAAAAAATGATGACTTCAGTGCTTTTAGCAAAAAGATGCATGCTCATCATTTTCAAAAAACTCAAGAAACACAGTAAATGCCAAAGAATATAAAACATCAATCCAAATTCCATGACCTCAAAATAACCAAGTAAAAGAATAGACACATTTTATCAAATTTAAAACTATATTTTACTTGAATTTAACAGAAGAAAAATTGAAATGAAACTAAAGTAACTACCGAAGTTGAGATAAACACTATTTTACCACCAGAGATATTACCTCCCAAAAGACGTGTCTAAAATTGAAGTTAGTGAAAAACATGAAGTTGAAGTTATTATGTTTCTCTTAACTATTTTCATTTTAGACAGTATGAATTGACTCCTTGCAATGAAAGACGAGGAAATCAGATCACTTTCCAGCGCCCTGCAATGTTTTGCAATTATTTTTTACTTTGTTAAGACATATAGCATTTACAAACTACTGTGTATTTGTAATTCCATATTTATTTGAGCTTAAATAAATATTTAAGTGGGTTCAATGCTCACACTGCTCTTTTACCGAGTTTTCCCATTCGTCTTGCAATCTTTCAATTTGCTGGAAATTTTTCGATGAATGGTGGTATACATACATTAAAAATAAATTCATCTTTCAATTCATCTTTCAATCTTTCAATTTGCTGGAAATTTTTCAATCAATGGTGGTATATATACACTAAAAGCAAACAACCAGGTGCTATAATCTTTCAGTTCTCGTATGTAATAGAATGTTTGCCTAAACTACAAAGAAAACAAATTTAACATTTTCAGGCCATAGTTTCTTTCCCTAAAATATTGCAGGCATTGTCCCATTGTCTTATGGTACTTAACTGTTTTATATATAAAACAAAGTCTGAGGTCACAATCAGGGATAATTGAACACAAACAGGGCATAAATAATAAAGAATTATTGTGAATTCTATTGGGTATGATAATGAGATTGTGATTATATTACTATCTTTATTACAGACAACTACTTAAGAATGTACACAGGTGAAATGGTTCTGTTGGGGATTTGCTTTTAAAAATTTCATAAGGAAGAAAGTGTGTGAGCACATGTGGAAATAAGTTTTCCAGCAAATGACATCTGTTATCACCTCCAGGGAGGAGTCACACCACAAGGAAGATAGCAAATAGCCTAACAGTGCCTGCCACCAGAAGCAGCAGTCCCAGGATGTCCACTCACTCTACAGTTTCCAGAGGGTGCAGTCCTGGGCCAGGCCAGCCCCCTGCAGGATGGACACAGGAAGGAGGCCCAGCGGGAAAGGGGCAAAGCCTTCCCAGGTGCCAGCTGATCACTTTTACTAACCACATCCAGAAATGCCACACACTAACTTGTGAATAATAAACTTTTGGAGCTGAGGAAAGGCTTTGGGATGATGTATATGTATGATCAATATACATATTTTACACAAGTTGGAATCACCATGGGAGCCAGCTGCAGCCTGCTTGGAGGCCACAGCAAGCGTAATGAATTTCAAGTGCAATGGAAATCATTGGGTTGGGCTTTAAGGTTTTAGGAACAAGAAAGTTTAATATTTTTTAGTGATATGGATGGATTCAAAATGAGGTTTTGAGCTAGACCCATTACATTTCCTTTTTTATTTGAAAAATCTTCTACCTCCAAAAATCTCACAGCTTTTCTGCAGAGGTAATACCTAGGTAAGGAGAGGAAAAAATTCTTTGTGGGAGTGAAATTTAAGTGTTTTTGATCGTGCATAGCTATCAGTTATTTTTGTTTTTATGCTTGGTTTATTGTGAAATAGAATATATACAGAAAAGTACATTTTAAAACAAATGCATATAGCAAATAATTATAAAGTCAATTCCCAGGTACCAACCTCCCAGGCCAAGAAGTTGTTTGTTGAGAGCAGCCCATGTGCCTGCCTGCTCCCTCACCCTCACAGCCACCCCCCCTCACCCCTCCCGTACTACTCTTCCACTCTCCTTTAGAGTTTTATATCCCTAAGTATAGTACAGGGACTAACAAACTACAGCCTGTGGACCAAATCTGGCATCCAGCCTTTTTTCAAAATTAAGTTTCAGTGGAGTGTAATCACACCCATTCCTTGACATGTTATCTGTGGCTACTTTCATGCAGAGCTGAGTAGCTGCTGCAGAAAAAGGCTGGCCTGCTAAGCCTAAAATATTTTCTGTCTCTTTTCAGAAAAGGTTTGCTGCCCGCTGGTGTAGTGCAAGATCTACCATGCTCCCCAGCTGCTGGGAATATTGGTGGCTATGGGCTCAGGGATGCCCATTTCTCTGGTGATTTCCCTGGGCTGTTTAGGGGACACCTAGCCAGAGAGTTCCTTTGTGTTGCCCTCAGCCAACTGATGCTATTATAAACAGAATTATCTTTTTTTTTTCCTTTTTCTAGACAGAATTATCTTTTAATTTCACTTCGAATTGTTGGTAGCTAGTGTATAGAGAAACAATTGATTTTTATATTGATTTTGTATACTGTAAACTTCTTGAGTTCTTTTGTTAGCTCTAATGAATTTTTAGTAGATTCATTAAGATTTTCTGTATAAAGTTTATGTCATCTGCACATAGAGATAGTTTTACTTCTTCCTTTCAATCAGATGGCATTTTACTTTTTGTTCTTGCCTCATTGCCCTGGCTGGAACCTCATGTTGAATATGTTGAATGGGAGCAGCAAGAACAAACATCCTTCCCTTATTCCTGATGTTAGGAGGAAAGCTTTCAGTCTTTCAACATTAACGATGATGTTGGGCGTGTTTTTTGTAAATGCCCTTTGTTTCTCTCTCTCTCTCTCTCTCTCTCTCTCTCTCTCTCTCTCTCTCTCTCTCTCTCTCTCTCTCT